ACCTTTGATTTAAGCCGGTAAATAAGATAAGTTGCCAAAAGAATGAGTATTTTTACTTTTAAAATAAGTTATCTAGATATTATGCACTTGAAATAAGAAAATGCAATTGTTTTTTCTTATTTTAAGTGTAAATTGTCTTGTTCCATTGGCAAAGTGTCTCACTTAAATACTTAATTTAAGAAAAAATACACTTATTTTAAGGAGGAAATTACCTATTTAGATTTAATTTTTTGCAGTGTGGTAGCCGGCTCGCATGGATGACGTCATACATACTCTGCTTTGATTTAAAAAAATATAAATATAAAGTATATAACCACGGATGTCTGGGGGACAGTGATTCCCCTACATGTTATGAATGCTGGCGTACAATAAATAACACAAAATATGAACAGTTTATTTTGTGTCTTCAGAAATAAGTAAAAATTTCTTAAATTAAGTGTATTTACCCTTAATTTGAGTTGGTAAATGAGCTAGTTTGCCAATGGAATGAGTATTTTTACTCTTAAAATTAGATAATTAGATAATATGAACTTGAAATAAGACAATGCAATTGTGTTTTCTTATTTTAAGTGTAAATTGTCTTGTTCCATGTCTCTTTTACCTCCTCAATTCAAGAACAAATGTCCTTATTTTAAGAAAAAAGGACTTATCTAGATTTAGTTTTTTTGCAGTGTAGAACATGACGTAATAAAGTAAAATCAAGGGCCCAATGTAAAAAAAACGGTGTTCCCCTTTAACTAGACTAAAGGTATTGAAAACATGTCATTAACTAAAAGGATATTTTCACAGCAGCAAGTAAGCCAAACTGTAGTAGATCTATAAACATTTACATTTAAGGTGAAAGATCTTCTTTTGCTGATAATATCTTCTATCCTGAGGAATAGTTTTAGCTTCACCTGCTTTATATTATGTCAAGAAATAAATCTTTTCCCAGCCTGGGGTCTTTCTTCACAGAGTTTACATGCTCTCCCACACAAGCATGGGTTCCTTCTGGGTACCTTCATCAGTTCTTCATCCACTGCTGGAGATAGGAACCAGCCCCCCAGAGACCCTGCAATGATCAGTAGGTTTATGGTTGGATGGATGATGAAGTAGATTTGAAGATAGATGCTTTTACTTCCAAAGTAAACTTCCAGGTCTTGTTAAACTTCCCAAAACATCTGGAAAATGTTTTATGACATGATATATATCAAGAAGAACATCTGAACCACAATGTAACATGGTGGTGGTGGTATCATGATCTGGGGTTGGTTTTCTTCAGCTACAGAAGTTTAGGTTTTTTTGTTGAAGTTATGAGCAGTTCTAAAAACAGTCCATCTTAATCTAAACATGCATCCATATCAACACCGTTCATCAGCAGAAGAAAATGGAAGAGCTAAATGTGACCCGATTGAGGTCCAGAGTCCTCTTAAACCTGAAGGGGGATGTGGAGTAGACATTTCCCTCAGTTAGACTGATTTATAGAGCTATCACAAGTAGAGCAAACAAAAATGATCAAGTCAAGGTTTGGGACACTGATAGAATCCCACAAAAACAATCCTTGTTGTTGTTTTTAATAAAAAGTAGTTGAAGTGAGATGAATTTGCTTCCTAGGACATTAAACCTCATGCAGACGATCTCCTGTTGTTTCAAAACAAAGTCCTGAAGTAACTTAATAGATGGTCCAATCCAGTGACCTGGACCGGCCTTTCTCTTGTGGACAGATTCCGGGTTCCCCTCAGGCTGTGGAAAATGGCAGCAGTGTGTCAGAGTAAAGA